ATGCACTGAATGAGTTATTATTTGGGTATTGGAGGGCACGATTATACCTGCTTGCGTTTATTTTCATAAGCTTTGTTAACCGTTTCAGGTTATTCCTGGGCATATTGAGAAGAACCCAGAGCTTCTGACCACAGGAATACCGACTCTGGACCAAATGACATATGTGGTCCTATCAACTGCGATGTTCGTGGCTGGACTAATATCTGCCGTTCTTGATAACACCATTCCAGGTAATATCACCGTCAATGCAATGGTAATATTTTCTGTTATTTTAGACTCTTTTTATCTCTTCGCAAGTCAACTTTTCAATCCTAAATAAAATGCATGCATCAGTTCCTTTAAGACAAACTGATCCGACCTGCATCGGGTTTGAGGGTTGTGCGGTGGATTTCGAACAGGAGAACGCAATGTCAGTAAGACACTGACCAGGAGCGTGTTTACCCGTCAGGTACCGACAAGGAGCGTGTTTTACCAGTCAGGTACTGATAAGGAGCGTGTTTTGCTCGGCACGTACTGATAAGAAGCGTGTTTTACTCGTCAGGTACTGATAAGGAGCGCGGGGTGGACCGGTGGCGAGCCCTGACAGCGGGAGCCGCTGCGGGGGCCGACAGTGACCCCACATACCGCCTGCCCTGGGGCATGCGCCTCCTCGAAAGGTAACTGGCATGACACACTAACATAAGGCTCTTAAATTCTATCTACTAGGTATTGAATGATAGCCAGGTATTTTTTTTATGAACCAATCCCCAGCAGTCGGCACGAATGAATGAAAAGTAACGCATGTTGAGGAAAATATAATAAGAATGCACTAAGTCTATTTCCAATAATTGTTAAAGATAATCAATGCGCTGCCAAAGGTGTGCGACATACACAATCCATTTCTTACAATCGCACGCATTTTTGTTCAATATGTTTCCCCCTTGCTATCGATCGAAATAACTTTACATATGTATTGTTACCGTAATGGCCAATAAGACCCCCGGTAACCGCCATCGCTCTGCCCTCGTGCCCAGGTGGCGGTGGACCCGCCTGCTGCCCTTCAGCCCCACATTTGAGGGTTTCCCAGAGCTGGGAGACACGAACTGCTGCCGCCGGCCACGCTCCCGACAGTGCAGCGTCGAACTCAAGAAGGCTGCGGCCATCAGCCCCGCCTAGATGAGGGCGGAGAGGGTCACTACGTGAGGGGAGGCGTGGACCCGTGAAGAGGTGTACCAGCTTGTGAGAAAGGATGTCGTAAAATGGTGTACGCGCCTTCAACGCCGACTGTGATCCTGCGTGATGCCTCTCGGTGCCTTAGTAAGGGCAGGTAGTGCCGCATGGATGCCGTCAAGCCATGCAGATGGCCCCTGTTGGATGCGTTGAAGAATTAATGACATTTTTACTATATATGTATGAACGTTTCATCATGGATTGTACGTTTGGGCAATGACGCCGTATTTTCCATGTCGTGCACCATATATAACTATATACTTGTAGGCATGCGAGATGTCAATTGCATGTATGGTTATTGGTTATCGTCTATTAAATGTAAACGATACCTAATTGCAAAGGCTATTTATGCTTTGTTCTTTATTCACATGCTTTTTACACCGTTTGGAAGGCGTAAATGTATTTATAAATGTATTTAGGTAAAAGCAAATGGTAATACTTAGCTCTAAAAATACCTTTCACTTTCAGAGTGCGTCAGCCACTTCTCTATACCTGATCGCATCAGAAGACGTCTCGATTATAAGTCGATACTGCGATCATGAGCAGGCAACAGCTTGAAGGTCGTGTTATTATGATTTTTTTTTTAGAATGGTCTGAAAACGAATGGACCGACTTAATGTAGGTAGAGAACAAGTACGTCATCCAATCACTTCAGTACCTACTCATGAACACCGTTTCTTCAAAGCCGTCCTTTTGAACCGCGTTGTATTTATAATTAAGGCTGATGTTATGATACTGGAAATAGTTAGTGCAACGGTATGAATATTGTTCAATACAACATCGACACTGACGTCCATAACCATCACGAATCGTGCCTTTTCCTCTAGGAAACTGTATCTACGTTTAGCAATGCTATTAACCCGCCCCCGTGTGGGCCTCTCAGCCCTCTTCTCCATGGTGGGAGGGGGGATATTTGACCACACCTATCTGTTCCATTCTGTCTCTGACCCTAGAGCATAATGCCAATAAGCAGCCAACTGCATCATGTAGTGCTGCGGTGCATTATTTTCAAATGGAGACGGACACTCAGGGGCTCACCGTGCGCCGCCGACTGGACTCGTTAGCCCACGTCGTTTACTGTCAGACTCAGCAGGTGATCCACGGTATATATAATATAGAGGATTATCTAGCTGATCAATATATGAATACCGACCGGGCTGACGAAATTATTTAATCAGCTGAACAACATCATCCATAACAGACATGGTTTACAAAATTGACGGAGGCCCGAGTGTGAATCACGAGGGCCGGAGTCAATTCTTTATTTCTTTTCTCACTCCGTGCTTACTCCGTGCTTGCTCCGTGCTGATCAAGGCAGTAGGATCAAGGCCCTATCGTGCTGATATTTGATCGACCGCCGACAGACAGATGCAGCAGTGAAAGGCCGCGCGGCCGGTCAGTGTTGGGTCAGTGCTGCGAGGCCTTGGCTGCGAGTATACCCGGGAGCGGGGTGCACGGGTGTGGGGTGCTGCGGAGTGGTGGCGAACAGCGGACTGAAAGACCGGCGAGAGACAGTGGAGAGGCAACGGATCGGTGGACGTACCTAGCCATGGCTGAGACGGCGTCGACAGCCAGTGGCGACACACAGGTAAGCAACGGATGGATGATAGGCTGCGACTTGGTTGTGACCTAGACAAGACGACAGCTGTTGTAGCGCCTCTCGTCTGCATCAGGGAGTGATCAGCTGTCCAGCGGGGGCCAGTGGCGGATCCAGGGTGGGGGGGCAAAATGGGCTTTTGCCCCTCCCAAACGGCATTACGCCTATGGACGAGGCATGGAAAGAATCGATAAATTGTTATGGTTTGCCCCCCCCCCCGAAAAAAAACTCTGGAGTTGGATCCGCCTCTGGCGGGGGCAGCCCCCCCCCCCTCGCTACAACCCGCCATCCCTTGTTCCCGGGCCTGTAGTAAGAAAAGGTCTGACGAGGATCAAGGGTAGGTTTATCAGTTTTTTTTTTAATTCCGGAGTTTTAGTGTAACGTGTAAGCCAGCCCATAGGCTAAACACCACCTATGAAATTTCAGTCAAATTGACGATGCCAGCCAAGCGCTGAGAATCGCTATCAAGTCCGTCTTTTGTCCAACTGTCCAATTTTGCTTCATTTACAGAACTCCTCAGCAGAAGACAGGCGCCAGCACACAGCGGATCGAAACGATCAGAGTCCCTCTGAGACCACCGACGACCCTTCTCATAAGCTTCTCTACGGCGTAAATGATGTTCCTCCCTGGTACACGTGTCTGCTGCTTGGGTTACAGGTAGGGCTGACACTGCTGTGCACAGGTGTTGAGTGGCGATTTTGCAGAATATTGATATGAGGGGCTTCCATTCTAAGCTTAGCATGTGAATTTTCAAAACAGCTTTTCTTACTAAAATATCACCTATCCCGAAGACCCGATTTTCTAATTCAAAGCATGACAAAATTAACCCGCGATGGGCCCGGGGTGGCCTATTGGTTTTCTACATACCGAGGGGGCCGAGGGGGCGGGGGGGCGGGTACGACCCCCATCCTCGCCGTTTCTCCCATGATGGAGCTAGAGCGTCTTGAAAAAACAAGCATGTGCGCCGTTACGAGATGCAGTGATCGGTACCCACTTTTAAGGTCTCAGGTCAACCGGTGACCTCTGAGGTCAGGTCAAGTGGTCCAAGGTACGGTTCGGTTTTTGGCAAATAACTTCGCAAAATGGCCGCAGAACCGCGATTTTGATAGTATCGTGCTCGCCTTGCTCAGGCGCGTCGAATGGCATACTTTTTGTTTGGGTGAGGTCAAATTGAGGTGTTGACCTCGGGTCACGGTCAGGTCAGAGGCCCCAGGTCACGCTCTTGGTCGAAGGAGGTCATGTCGCATATCATTCGATTTTGCATGTTTTCTCGAGTCCATTGGTGGATTTCTCGAGTCGCTCGCTTAATTTGAACAGGAGTTATTGACGAAAAGCTTGGTGACGCCATATATGACGTCATGCAAGGTTAACAATGCAAAGGTGAAGCATAAAAACTTGCAAGGAGTGAGATCACGATTCCGTGTGGTTGAGATAGTTTGAGATCGTTCCCGGCGCCAAAATAGCAGTTTTCATTTTTCCCATTGAAATAATGGTGAGGTGACGCAACTGACCTGACCTCATGTGACCTTAAGAAAAAAAAAATCCGAGATGTACAAATTGTGAAGCCTCTAATCTGTTGACTAAAGCGTTAATGTTTTTCGACGCTAAGGGTAGGGAGAACAGGAAGAACGTTAAAAGAGCTATCAAACTCGCTTCTTCTCCGCGGCGTTCTAACTCTATTCGTTCCCTAGTTCTGCGCCTGTTTACATAAAAAAAATGGAATAGACAAAATTCGACCTTAAATGACCTGTTATGACCTGAAATTTGACATGACCTAAGAACGTCACATGTACTTATGTCATGATCTTTGACACTCTTTCGAATGCTGCTTACCGCTTGTCGCTACGTGGCCCAGTAGCCGAGTTAGAGGATGGCATGGGATGGCGTTCAAACATCCCCTAGCCCGGCGCGGTTGGCACCGAGCGCCGTCGCGGCGCGGGTTAACTTTCAACCATCAATTTGGGGATTACCTCGGTTCAGCCGGTTTCAGCTTTTTGTCCTCCTGTTGCAGCAATTCCTGACGATGTTGAACGGCTCTGTGGCGATGCCACTGATGGTGACGCCGTTGACCTGCATGGCAGACGACGACCCGGCGAGGGGTTACATTATCGACGCTACCCTCTTCGTGTCCGGCATCACCACGCTGCTACAGGCCACCTTCGGCACCAGGTCAGAATATCAGGCTACCTTCGGCACCAGGTCAGAACAGGTCACCCTCTACACCAGGTCAGAACAGGTCACCCTTGGCACCAGGTCAGATCAGGTCACCCTCGGCACCAGGCCAGGACATCAAAGCAGGTCAACTCGGCCAATGCATGCCATGTCTTAGGCTCGTAGGCCGTTGACCGTTGGCATACTCGTAGCACTGCTCCTACTGTGACTCTTCTGCTGCGGTGCAGGGTAAGCGATATAGACTAGACGCCCACAACCAGTCGATCACCATTCAGCCGCCTTCTACTCCGCCTGTCTCTCTCTCCCACCATTCCCATTCCGTAGATGCCTCTCGTCATCTCCAAATAATTCCACTCACATCCTCCCTATCCGTAACAGACCTACAGGCTGCCTCCGACCTCAACACCAACAGAGAACCCTCATATCGCACCACTGTCTGTCTCACCCCCTCTCACATCGCTTCACCTTCTCTCTCCGCAGGCTGCCGATCGTACAGGGTCCCAGCTGGACCTACCTCGCGCCCATCGCCGCCGTCATGCACCTGCCCGAGTGGAAGTGTCCCGATGTCGACCTGCTGGCGAACATGAGCTCCGAGGAGCGCAGCGGGCTGTGGCAGCCGAGGGTCAACGAACTGCTTGGGGCGCTGGCGGTGGCTTCGGTCATACAACTGCTGCTCGGTGCTACCGGTGGGTGGTGACGGCCGACGGGCCATCGGTGGATTACGGACACCGAAAGGCAGGGACGGAATACGTAGCAGGCTGGTGGCTCGTTTTTATCACGTTTGTGTGCTGTAAAAAAAATTGTAAAGGCATACGCGTGAAACATGTCAGAGATTTATGTTTTTATGGTCGCCATCGGTGTTTGAAGACGTTTCACCTAGTTGCGAAAGCCTATATTAGTTGGAAAAAAACGAGACGTGAATGGGATCCTGCGATAAATGCGTGAAATCAACAGGCATCGGTAAAATCCTTTTTGAAAGGATTGCATTCCCAATCCACATTCCTAGTGCCGAAGTGGATTGCATTCCTACCCGCAGTCCCCTTTTTCACTTGGATTGTGATCAAATCCACAATCCTTTTTTGCAATCCTGTTGTATTATCCCGCGCCGTGCTGGTGGCCTGAACTTTCCGCCGAGTGCTGGGGGGGGGCGTTTTCACGCCCCCCCGTCTAACTCGGCTCCTGGGCCACGTAGCGACACGCGGTAAGCGGCAATCGAAAGAGCGTCAAAAATAAGGACGAAAACACTTCGGTCATTTTTTGGGTCAGGTCAAAGGTCAGGTCACCAGAGGTCACCAAAGGTAAAATGTTGACTATTTCAACATTTTGGAAACTGCCAACGGCTATCTCGGGAACCGATAGAGCTACAGCGCCGCGGAAAAGCGCATTCGATAGCCCTTTTACAGACCTTTCTGAGTAATGTTCTCAGATTTGACCTCAGGTCAACGGTTTAGCCTCCAGAGGGCAAAAACTCCAAAAATAGCCAAAAATAAAAAATAGTTTTTACGAAAAACGTTTTTTCGTCAATAACTTTTGACTCATAAGCGCCATGACATTACTTTTGCCAGCATCGTGTTCGTCTCGTCGAGACGCGTCGAATGAACTATTTGTTGACCTTGAAAGGTCATTTTGAAAATTTGACCTCAGGTCAAGGTCATGACCTGACCGAAAAGGGTCATGTTGCATATCAGTCGATCCGTATCGTCGAGCTGAACACATCTAACGTGTTTTCACCGCTCTAGCACGTCTCTATCAAAAGTTATAGCCAAAAAACTGCTGGCGACCGTTCATGACCTGAGATGACCTCAGGGGCACACAGAGGGGTCACAGGTGCATTTTTCCTATTCAGTGTGTCATGTTTACCTATGAACCGATGTTTGAGAGCGTTTTGAACGATATTCGTCCAAAAGAGGCGCATTTCAATTTTCTCCCATTGACTTATAATGGAGAGGTCGCAAAATTGACCTGACCTTAGGTCACAGATATCAAAAATCCGAGATATACATTTTATACATACTGTTACTCATATCAACCGCTGAAAGTTTCAAAGTGATCGTTCAGTCGGTGTAGCTATAGCGAGCCTTTGAACTTTTTCTGAGGTAAGGTCACTTGACGTGACCTGGTGACCTGACCTTGAACGGCCTAGGTCTGAAATTTTCACAACATGTGCGGAAATGATGTAGGAACACGTGTACCAAAAACGGCGGCGCTGCGCGCCGCCGTTTTTGAGATATTCGCGAAAAACCTGAGGGGGGGGCGTAAAAACGCCCCCCCCCCAGCACGGCGCGGGTTAATATGTGCACTATATGGATCTGGGGAGGGAGGGGGCATAGGGCCGTGCCTCCATCCCCAAATCACCCATTTCTAGTACCTAGTCTTGCGAGTAATTCCTATCTAACGCACAGGTATTTTATGGGAAATATTTTTTGCCTCAAACACCCCCACATTTAAACCTCTACCCAACCAGTGTTTTACATTTTTAAAACTCGCCTTCAAATACATAATTTTGCCCTTCATATGTAGTTCATCAGCGTATATTATTTTGAGCGTTTAAATCAAAAGCTTTTAAATTATTTCAAGTTTCGATGCAAAGCCCTTGATAGCAAAGTACATTAAGCCGATGAAGCCGATCTCATAATTTTCAATCGCAGCAACCATTTCAAAGCACTAATCAAACACAATCCGGATTGGATTACAAAAAATTGGAAGTATGATGCAATCCAATCCGCAATCAAATCCTGTTTTTTGGAATGGATTTCAAATCCAGGTGCAATCCACCAAAAAGCAATGCAATCAGGATTTTGCAATCCTGCAATCACAATCCTACCGATGCCTGGAAATCAAGAAAGATGATACTGTTCCTCTCTGACCATAACACACTCAAATGCATAGAGCTCGATCATGAATGAAACGCGGCTGTGCTGTGTACCATATACTGTTCTCGCTTACAGGAGCCGTCGGCCTGCTGTTGCGCTTCATTTCGCCCATCACGGTCGTCTGTACCATCACAGTGCTCGGCATCGGTTTCTTCGAGTCGTTCCGTGGAATGATGTCTTCCCACTGGCCGGTGTCGTTACTGTGAGTTGATCCGGTCCATATTCACTTCGGAGATGCCACTTGATACTTTTAGGATCATACAATCTCCGTAAATTCCTTGCTGTGACCTAACTCACAGTTCATACCTTTTTCAGAACAATGTTTTTGGTGATTTTATTCAGCCAGTATCTACGAGACGTGAAGATACCATTTCCATATTGCACAAGGACAAGTAAAGGAGTGATACGTGTTCCCATTTTCAAGCTTCTACCGGTGAGCTGCTATTTTATTATTTAACCCTCGCCGGCACAGGGAGGTTGATGCTACGGGTTTTCACAAATAACTACGGGTTTTCGCGTTGATGCCCCCCCCCTACGGGTTTTCGCAAATAACTCGCGTAAAAAGGGGCCGATCGCAACGAAAGTTTCAGCACCTTCGTGTTCATCAAGTCTGCACCTACCCTAAGAGTTTCATGACTCTGACCCAAATGACCTTTGACTGTGACCTACTTTTCGAGACCATGTTTAGCCGGAATCGCGATTCAGCGTATGTCGGCTCGCATTAGCCGCGTTTTTGCAGTTTTTCGTGCATTAGGGTATTATTACATTAGGCATTAGAGTTTTTTCAAGCATTCAAACATGTGATTTGATGTTCTCATGCATTAGGGTAGATGTTAAGGTCACCTGAAGGTCAGATCGGTAGACCTGACTTGACCTGACCCGAACTGGCCTAAATGCATAAATACATCATCTGTGATCAAAACTAACATGATATTCGTGAGCAGCACCAAGAAAAAAACCCATGGCAGGCACACTCTACGACGTTATAATAGGTCCCAATATCCCCGACTTTTGGGTCATTGACCTGACCTGGAAGGTCAACCGATGACCAACGACCTTAAAATTGGGTATCATCGGCTTCTTTTCGTTACGGGCTATGCGCTCGTTTTTTTTCGGCGAAGCTCTAGCTCGATCAGGGGCCAAAAGCGAGGGGGTCGTACCCTTATGCCGTCGAAGGACGCAAAATGGCCTGTGCCGGCGAGGGCAATGGATGGGCCATATGTTTTATCGTGTAGTCCAAGTCATTTGTAGCACGAGAAAACAGCTTTCATGAAAGAAAATGTCATCAAAACGGTAAACACATTACTGTTTAGTTCAAGTGCAAAAAAAGATTAGTGTGGTCCTTACGTATTCCTATTCCTTGTTTTGCATTCCCCTGTACTCTGCTTCCAGCTCCTGCTGCTCAAAGATTGTTGTTCATGTTCGTGTCAGTGAGTGGTGCTCTATCCTGCTGACAGGTGCTGCTGAGTATAATGATTAGCTGGTCTCTGTGCGCCATACTGACCCACGCAGACATACTGCCGGTCGGTTCCGCGGCCAGAACAGACCACAATCTCAACGTAAGGCATTACAGATTTAATCCGGTGTTTATTTCTATTTCATTTAGCAATGTAAAAATGTTCATCACGAACTGCGAAGTGGATATGTCTCCTTATGTTTATTTTGTATCACTGCACTGGTGTGGTTCAGCAAACAAATGTCAAAACTCGCACATACGATCTTGCGTTTTGCACCAAGGAAAGCATTCTACTCTGTATGCCCCGTTTTTCCTGTTCAGCATTCAATGCTGTCTTGCACTTCCTGCAGTCCCGTCCTGACCTACCTCCTGCATGTATGTACCAGGCGCTGAGCGAGGCTGTTTGGCTGCAACTGCCGCTGATCGGACGCTGGGGCGCCCCCACCGTCCACATCGGACCCGTGCTGGGCATGACTGCCGCCGTCCTGGCCTCCATCGTCGAATCCATCGGAGACTACTACTCATGCGCCAAAATTTCCGGTGAGCACCCGTGGAAAGCTCAATGTGATTCATGTGCTTATATAATCATTCATTTCATTGAGTCCATTTTCTCTAATCATTTACTTATAGAAACGATTTTTGTGCATGCTTACGGTCAGACTTCTTTGTTCTGTTGAAATCCACCAACAACTAAACTGCCAAAGCAATACAATGATCATGTCGGTGCCCTCTGTCACATACTTTTTGCAGTAGCGGATGGAATGCATGGCGTGTGTGACGGTGTATAGTAACGAGACTGTACGGCTGTATTTTGAATCGTGTTTCGATTTCAGGCGCGTCGGCGCCGCCCGTACATGCTATGAATCGTGGCATCGCCATCGAGGGTCTGGGCGGCATCCTCTCGGGACTGTTTGGAGCCGCCAACGCGTCCACCAGCTACAGCGGCAACATTGGCATCATCGGCGTCACCAGGGTCAGTCAGAGCTTACATATCCTTCTTGGAGCTTATTGAGGGCAGAAAGGGAGACAGAAATATTTACCTCTGGATTTTGTTCAAAATATTTCGGTCCCGAACAAAGAAGTTGAATTGATTTTTGGTACATACGTTTATTGTATATTCAGTAGCAGGTACGCATTGCAACGACAATATGATGACTTTATGTGGCCACATTTGGCCTTCAACACTCAGCCTCGACACGTCCCTCTGCGGAGGGGCTCAAGCGCCGCGCAGTAAACTCGCCGAGATTTGACCGTGCCGCCTCGAGGGCCAGCCTCAGAGCGGTGATGCTGCTGTGTCGCGTTGCATGCACCTCCCTCTCCAGGATGGCCCAGGTGGCGAAGTCGATCGGCCAAGTCTATCGGGTTCAGGTCTGGACCTGATAGGTGCTGAATATTCTTGTCCCAGAAGCGAGGCATGTGGCCCGTTCACCACTGTTGTGTGATGTTGGCCGTTTTTGACGGCGCACCGTCCTGGTTCTAGACGTACACTGTAAAAAAGTTTAGCACCACCAAGCAGCTAAATGCACTAAAGTACCATGGTAGAAACGAGCACCACCCACCGGCTTATTTTAAGCAGGCTAAGAGGGTGCTATTTGAGTTATTTATTTTTAGCACCATAAATATCGTAGCATCATGGCTCCTGATGGGGCTAACAAGATGCTTTCTAATTAGTACCTCATATTTAAAAGATATTGACTGAAAAGGAGAGGGTCTGTTTTGCCCTCCCCCTTCCAATGGGCGCGGGTTTACATCGATACACGAGTTAGTTGAAAAGCCGCATGCACAATTTTTCCCAAATCTGTTAATCACTTTTTGACTTATTGACTGAAAACAAACAGGTAAATATTTCTGCCCTACCTTATCATCTACTGCTTGACACTTTTGAATGAAAAAACAAATGGAATCACGGAAGGTTTTGATATTACGATTCATTCAATCACAGGCCACAGCTATTTTTCGCAACCAGTGCAAATGCAGTGTTTCACTGTCGTCAGGTGGGCAGCCGCCGTGTGGTGCAGTTATCCGCCATCTTCATGATCCTGTTCGGCCTGGTGGGCAAATTCGGCGCACTGTTCGTGTCGATACCGGCGGCCATTTACGGCGGCGCATTTGTCGCCCTGTTCGCCATGATCGCAGGAATTGGTACGCTGGTCAACTCAACACACTTTATATTGTGCTCTGTCTGTCTACCTGTTCTTCCTTCTCTCTCTCTCTCTCTCTCTCTCTCTCTCTCTCTCTCTCTCTCTCTCTCTCTCTCTCTCTCTCTCTCTCTCTCTCTCTCTCTCTCTCTCTCTCTCTCTCTCTCTCTCTCTCTCTCTCTCTCTCTCTCTCTCTCTCTCTCTCTCTCTCTCTCTCTCTCTCTCTCTCTCTCTCTCTCTCTCTCTCTCTCTCTCTCTCTCTCTCTCTCTCTCTCTCTCTCTCTCTCTCTCTCTCTCTCTCTCTCTCTCTCTCTCTTCTCTCTCTCTCTCTCTCTCTCTCTCTCTCTCTCTCTCTCTCTCTCTCTCTCTCTCTCTCTCTCTCTCTCTCTTTCGCTCTAGCTATAACATTCCATTTCATAGCAAATTAGTGCTTGTTCTTTTTATTTTAGAAAACAGACTGGCCTTTTTTATTGACATCAATGGTGGAACAATTTATTTTATTACGGAGCGAGCGAAGCGAGCGGAGTCTTACGTAGAATAACGGAAATTTCTGAGTATGAGCGGCCGGCCGGCCGGCCGGCCGGCCGTGCGGACGCTTTTGCGAGGCTTATATCTCAGCAACCACTTGACCGATTTACATGCGGTAATTTTTGTAGGGTAGCTTCATTCCTTCTACCAAGTATTGGACTATTCCCGATGCATGTGGGTGACCCCTTATGCACGTGCCACGTGCAAAACGAAGAGGTGTCAGTTTTGTAATTGTTGCAATATCTCGGTAACTACTTGGCCGATTGCGCTGAAAGTTGGCATGTAGGTAGGCACCCACTAGGCACTGCATATCCATGTGCCAGAGTTGGGGTGCTGCTGCACGTGCGCACGTGCAGGGGTCGTTTCCAGATCTCGAGAACGGCTGGACCGATGGCGCTCAAATTTGGTACACAGTTAGGGACCAGTTAGTAGGGTGCCGTGCACAAGTCAGTTGGGACCCATTTTGCACGTGCGCACGTGCAGGGTGCCGCTCCCAGATCTCGAGAACGGCTGGGCCGATTCACGATTGTGCTCAAATTTGGCACATCGCTAGAAACCGGTCAGTAGGGTGCCGTGCACAAGTCAGTTGGAGGTACCCCCTCGAAATTTCGCACGTGCAAGACTCACCCCCTCGCTCGCTCCGTTAGTCGCCCCAAAAGGCGCTATACTGGTATTAAGTGCTGTCAAAAAACGCAAAATTAAGTTTTAGTCAATTTACCGTTGTGAGGGATGAGAGGACCCGTTGCGTGGGTCAGGAATGACGTCACTCAGGATCCGCCTCTGATTGGCTGGTGGGAGAGTGGCTGTATCTTCTATGGATGAACGTGAAACAAACCGTGGAATGGGTCGACCGGGAAATCTTATTAGGCACCCATATCCTCCTACAGTATCTGAGTCCTATATTTGGCCTTGATCTGAGTCATCATGGTTTAAAGTGCGCTTTTCTTTAAAGGACGCTGGCTCCCAGTTCATTTTCGAAGCTCTCACGTAAGGTTTGGCAGCTTCAGCGTCTGGTCGATAATTTCTCACCGAAAAATATTATATTTCAAATTGTGGTAAGCACCCATAAATTGTACTGAAAAAAAAATTAACTATGATGACGTCGCTGGTGACAGCAAGCACCCAATGTCCGTACGATGTGTCGACAAATTTGGGGAAAACTTTGTTTTGTTTTGTTTTTCACTGTCGCCGAGGTTTAATCGAATTAGCGGTTCCGTCTATGGTATTTATACGTTACAATGCAATACCAGTAAAACGCCTTTTGGGCGAAGAACGAGCGAGCGAGATAGTGAGCCCTGCAGGCTGCACGTGTGGAAGGGCGAGAGGGTTCTTCCAACGGGCTTGCGCATAGCACCCTTCTAACCGGTCGCTAGCGGTGTACCAAATTTGAACGCAATCGGCCCAGCCGTTCCTGAGATCTGGAAGCGGCATTCTGCACGTGCAAACGGGTCCAAACTGACTTTTGCACGGCACCCTACTAACTGGTCCCCAACCGTGTACCAAATTTGAGCGCAATCGGCCCAGCCGTTCTCGAGATCTGGAAGCGCCCCCCCTGCACGTGCGCACGTGCAGTAGCACCTTAACCGCAACACATGGGAATGCATTGCCTGGTGGGTGCCTATACCTGTATACCAAGTTTCAGCGAAATCGCCCCAGTAATTACCGAGTTATTAAAATGGGAACAAATTTGACACCTCTTATTGTTGTATTTTGCACGTGCACTGGGGGTGCCCCACATGCATCGAGAGTATCCTATTTTTGGTAGAAGAGATGCTGCTACCCTACAAAAATTACCGCAAGTCAATCGCCCAAGCGGCTGCTGAGATATGAGCCTCTCAAAATCACTACTTTTGCAAAACAGCTTGAACACCCTTGACTTTTCACGTGGCACGTGCCACGACGGTCACTGAGATGCATCAAAAGTAGTCAATTACGGGGTAGAAGGGATGGGGCTACCCAGCAAAAAAGACCGCAGGCGAATCGGTCCAGCGGTTGCTGAGATATAAGCCTCTCAAAAGCGTTACAGGCCGGACCGGGCCGGGCCGGGCCGCTCATACTGAGATTTTTCCGTTATATTGAAAAAGACTCGCTTCGCTCGCTGCGCTCGCTCGCTCGTAACAAGCTCTACAGCATGACGTCACTACTGTTCTAATCAAGATTACTTTACTACTCGTTCTAATATCTAGTCCCAAAAATTGCACGTACCTATGGAAATTATCGGGAAAAAATTACATGTTAGAAAAATTCGACGTTCAATTTTCTCAGGTTCAGTTTTTGCCCGTTTTGCTCGCTAAAACACGTGCTTATTTGAAAACAAATTCACTTGGATCCAAAGTCCTTAAAAAAAAACGCTAGAGTATTTACCTACGGCACTAACAGAATCATCTGCATCAATATTTGCATACATGTCTGCTTGACAGATTTTATTCAATGTTCACCGTCTGCACGTGCCATCTTATCTAATGACCGTCTGATCTAATGACTGCGTTTGTTTTACAGGTCTATCTCCACTGCAATATATTGATATGAATTCTCCAAGAAACATGTATGTGGTTGGATTTTCCATTCTCATCGCATTGGTAAGAAAAAATAGGTACCCTCAGTTCTCAGTCAGTATATTCACAATGCAGATAATTCAACAAATGCACTGTATTGGCTACACATCGTTCAAGCATTGGTGTAGGCACGAATATACCAGCTTCCGCTTATTTTTTGTGACCATTGCCTAAACCGTTTTAGGTTATTCCTGGTTATATTGAAAAGAACCCAACGCTTCTGACCACGGGAATACCGACGCTGGACCACATGAGCTACGTGGTCCTATCGACTGCAATGTTCGTGGCTGGACTAATATCTGCCGTTCTTGATAACACCATTCCAGGTAATATCACCGTCAATAGATTGTTTGTATTTGCATTTTAGTCCTAATACCATCTTTGCATCTTTGTATCTCGGCGCATTTTATATCCTCAAGCTAACTTTTGAGGAAAAATTAAAATACACGTGCCAGCTCCACAATCATTCAGATATACCGATCCGACCTGCAAGGGGTTTGAAGTTTATGCAATACGTTTATACTATCAGGCGGGTGACCGTTTTGTCAAAAGAATACTGAATTATAGGGCCATGTTCTACTGCAGGCATTGATAAGGGGCGTGTTTTACCCGTCAGGCACTGACCAGAAACGTGTTTTACCCGTCAGGCACTGACCAAAAGCGTGTTTTACCCGTCAGACACTGATCAGGAGCGTGTTTTACCCGTCAGGTACTGACAAGGAGCGTGTTTTACCCGTCAGGTACTGACAAGGAGCGTGTTTTACCCGTCAGGTACTGACAAGGAGCATGTTTTACCCGTCAGGTACTGACCAGGAGCCCGTGTTTTACCCGTCAGGTACTGATAAGGAGCGTGTTTTTCTCGTCAGGTACTGATAAGGAGCGTGTTTTACTCGTTGCAGGTACTGACAAGGAGCGTGTTTTACCCGTCAGGTACTGACAAGGAGCGTGTTTTACCCGTCAGGTACTGATAAGGAGCGTGTTTTGCTCGGCACGTACTGATAAGGAGCGTGTTTTACTCGTCAGGTACTGATAAGGAGCGCGGGGTGGACCGGTGGCGAGCCCTGACAGCGGGAGCCGCCGCGGGGGCCGACAGCGACCCCACCTACCGCCTGCCCTGGGGCATGCACCTCCTCGAAAGGTGACTGGCACGACACATTAACACTGAGGCTCCTAATTTCTATCTATGCATGTTTGTACATTTACATCCATAGATACATTTCTATATATGTACTTTTATCTATGTATCTATGCCAGGTATTTTTTATGAGGTAAACGCTCTCGCTCTGCCCTCGTGCCCAGATGGCGGTGGACCCGCCTGCTGCCCTTCAGCCCCACCTTCGAGGGTTTCCCAGAGCTGGGAGACGCAACCTGCTGCCGACGGCCACGCTCCCGACAGTGCAGCGTCGAACTAAAGAAAGCTGCAGCGATCAGCCCCGCCTAAATGAGGGCGGAGAAGGTCACTACGTGACCCGTGGAGTCGTGGAGTGACAGCTTGTGAGAAAGGAGTGTCGGAAAATGGTGGACGCGCCTTCAATGCCGACTGTGATCCTGCAATGCCTGTCAGTGCCTTAGTAAGGGCAGGTAGTGCCGCATGGATGCCGTCAAGCCAGGCAGATGGCCCCTGTTGGATGCGTTGAGGAATTAAAGACATTTTTACAATGGGTATCGACCTTCCAGCATGGAATATGCGTCTCAGAAAGGACACCGTATATGTTCCTATTTGTCGTGTGCCGTATAATGTATAGGACTACATAGGTATACTTGAATGCCAGCTATGTCAACGGCAAGGTTATTGCCTCTTTAATTGTTAAATATAGCTATAATGGCTATTTTATATTTTGTTCGTTATTTATATGTGCCTTGCATCAATTGAAAGGCGTAAATGTATTTAGGGAAAAGCAGAAAGTCATGATGCTTAGCTTCAAAAAATGCCTTTCATTTTTTTAGAGGGCGTTGGCCACTTTTCTACTTGATCGCTCCAGAAGATCGTTCCATGAACAGTCGTAAGCCGGTAATGGGCAATCAACAGCTTGATGACCGTATGAATGTTTTTCTTATACATAGAACAGACAGGAAACCAATCGACCAGCTGTACAGTACAGTACGCATGACCACCCTGTCTTCCAAGCCGTCCTTCTGTATCGTTGCATTTAGAATAAGGGCTAAGATTATGGTCGTGGAAAGCAAGGTCTAGTATGTAGATTGATCAATATACGACATCGACATCGTAACGATTACGGGTCGTGTCTTTTCCTTTAGGATACTGTAGCTGCGTTTAGCAGTGCTAAAATGAGCGAAAATGCCTAGATTTATGTGTCAAATGTACGAGTATGCGATGCATTTATGAATATGTTATCACTTGTAACTTTTATTGATTCTTAAGCGGGACGAATAAGAATATGGCAGCCGTCAATCCGTCATCATCATTGCGGCGACTCACCCAAGTTCAATTCATCTGGTGTTGTTTTTCTGGCTGGCTCAGGGAAGAGCAGGGGAGCTTTCCGTCCCTCCGTCCTCTGTCGTCGCGTTTGACAGGCCTCACCTCGAGGGAAATCAACATTCAACAGTGCCTGTGTCTCCTCAGATCGGCATGGAGGCGATCGACAGATCTGTCAGCGCGATCTCTCTCCCCGTGCGATATCTTCCTGCACGCGCTATTTCGCTGTCCGCGCGATCTCTCTGGCCGCATGATCTCTCTATCCGCTCAGAGCTCTTCAGCGGCCTTCTGCGTGGAGGGGGAAAATCCATGCCACAAAAATAGAAACACAAGAATGGCGGAAAAGGTTTCACTCGACTGAAACCCTTCTTATTCTTGCTGAACGCGGTTACCGCATGAGCTGATACATACATGCTTATTGCTCACTGCTCAGCGATCTGGCAGGGTGGGGAACATCGGCAGCGCCTTCACTGTAGTGTCGCCGCTCACGGAGCTGTCCGGCGGATCAGAGGTGGCCGCTGACAGTCTGTCCCACCGGTGACCACCCGGCGACGGTGGCAGCTGCGTCCCGCGGTACCCCGTCCCGGACAGTGACACCACCACCGACCGCACCCCCGCGCCGTGACGCCGGTCGCAGACCGATGACGCCATTCGCAGACGGATGACGGCTCCGGCCGTCATCGTCGCTGGCAATCGGTAACCATTAGTGAGCGGCGGCGGCGGCTGGCTGCTGCGGCTCATCACGCGACCGCTGGGGACAGCCCTCCCCTGCGGTCACTCATCCCCAGGGACAGCCCTCCCCTGCGGCCACTCATCCCCAGGGACACCTCTCCGCTAAAGACACCCTTGTCCGTCTGCACCTCATCCCTCCTCTGTGTTACACATTAAAACTATCATTATTTGGCGGCTCTATCAGCAGACAGACTCGAGTTGTTCCGAGCTGTCAGGCGCGATTCTGTCCGTTCTGCCTTCTTCTCACTGTTGAGCCGATCAAAAAAGTTGGCCACCGCCTTGTACAGATCACTCATGAAATATTGATACGCGGAGAGTGGGGTTGGTTTCTCTCTGCAGCGTGTTCCGACGTCCGGTCAACAGCAAACACTCGGCGAAAAACGCGCCGTGTTCGACGGGCCGCGCTGACGAGCGCCGACAGCGCTCTGTCGATTCGCCGCGGCAGAACTGACGCGCCGTCGTTCGCCGCATTAGCGGCGCGGCGGCGTGTGTGGCGCAGTGGCGGCGCGCGGCGCGGAACGGGACACCCAGCGCGTGCGGAATGGCTCCGCCGGCGGACAGAGGCGGACGCGGGTGGAGCGCCGTGCCCCCGGGGGCAGAGCGAGGCTCACATTTCAGCTGATGGGAGCGTTAATTGGTGCCGCTCATGTGTCAGTAGGACAATGAATTGAATGGTGCAGCTCAACGATAAATAAACGAATGACAGATCTACCTCAATTTTTTCTGTGAATTCGATTAACAGCAGGAGGTGCTTACATATATGAAGCTTAAACAGAATTATCAAAATCACTGAAAGACTAAACAATAATGAATATATGTGGCGCCCTTTTTTGCATAATAAATCATCAGCTTCCATCACACAAAAAAAAAACGTGACACGCAGTGTCAAACTGTGTAGGGACAAAGGTAAATGGCAATTATGATATCTTTCGATAAAATGGATTAAAAAGAAAAGATTATTACGGAGCGAGCGAAGCGAGCGTAGTCTTTCCTTAGATTAACGGAAATTTCTGAGTATGAGCGGCCGGCCGGCCGGCCGGCCGGCCGTGGTCACGCTTTTGCGAGGCTTATATCTCAGCAACCACTTGACCGATTTACACGCGGTAATTTTTGTAGGGTAGCTTCATTCCTTCTACCAAGTATTGGACTATTCCCGATGCATGTGGGTGACCCCTTATGCACGTGCCACGTGCAAAACAAAGAGGTGTCAGTTTTGTAATTGTTGCAATATCTCGGTAACTACTTGGCCGATTGCGCTGAAAGTTGGCATGTAGGTAGGCACCCACTAGGCACTGCATATACATGTGCCAGAAATGGGGTGCTGCTGCACGTGCGCACGTGCAGGGGTCGTTTCCAGATCTCGGGAACGGCTGGACCGATTGCGCTCAAATTTGGTACACGGTTAGGGACCGGCTAGTAGGGTGCCGTGCACAAGTCAGTTGGGACCCATTTTGCACGTGCGCACGTGCAGGGTGCCGCTTCCAGATCTCGAAAACGGCTGGGCCGATTGTGCCCAAATTTGGCACATCGCTAGAGACCAGTTAGTAGGGTGCCGTGCACAAGTCAGTTGGAGGTACCCCCTCGCAATTTCGCACGTGCAAGGCCCACCCTCTCGCTCGCTCCGTTAGTCGCCCCAAAAGGCGTTATACTGGTTCGTATGTTCGTCGTCAATTCATGGGATTTAGTAAAGAGTCGCTTTGTCCCGCAAATGCCAGTCGTTACAGGGGTAGCCAGTAACAGTTGGTAGCATTACGCCAAATGGGCGCTCAAAAACTACTACCCCATAGGGTTTGCGTGTTAAATCGACCTTTTTCAAGCGAGCCCCACACGTAAGCTAAAAGATAAAGTGCCAATATTATTGTGGGGAAAGGTAGCCTCAAGCTTCCTCTACAACCTTTTTATCTAGCGTTTTTCGATGCGGAGGCCATAACAGGTCCAAAACGCATTGGGCGCTGCCCGAGGTACCAAAAGCCCCTCCATGAGAGCACTGGTTCCTGCGCATGCGCACATTGCCTCAACCCTGTACTAGCGTAAGATAGCGATACTGCTCACGGACTCGATTAGCCAATGAGCGTCCCGGATTGCATTAATAGATGTCGCTAGCGTCACGTAAATTCTGCTTGCGAACACATTTCAAGAATGAAACAGCTGCGCCATTTCCGCCTTCCATAGATTCCTTCCATTTTAGTATCAACTATAGGCTTTTCAACTAACTTTATGCTAAGTTTTAAACTATGGTCAGTATGTTATTTCTGGTTCATATAATTTAAAAATAACTGCTTTATGAATTTGGCTTTACTCGTCAACATAGAATACTCTATTTATTCCATCTTCAAAAAATATATCACCTACCATGTAACTCATCCAGGTAAAATGGGCGCTTTCCGCGTCGTTGGTGTACCCGTTGTTCTATATACCCTGAGTCGTTATCCCTCTCAACTGCACGCTCCATTCACGCTCCATTCACCATCCATCCATTCACGTTGCACGCTCCATTCACGTGCACCGTGCACCGTGCTGCGCTGGTGACACTCGCCGTCTGCCCACACATGCGAGCTATGCCGGCTATGCTGCCGCCGGAACAGGGTCGTTTCCGACGAGTCGCAGTATGTCCTACTGCAGTGGCCATCCGGCGAGCCGCGCCGCGCCGCGCGGGGCAGTCAGCCCGAAAACACGCGGCCCAAAACGGCCCGCCCGGGGTTCCGTCATGTCGGTATTGCATTTTTTGTCATCCTATGACGAACGTTCGCACATCAAAATGTTATGCAGGAAAATAGAGGTATGCCGCCAGATGCTTGTTTCTTCAAATTATACCCAGTGACGCCTTCCGAGCATTTTGGCGGCATGACAGATTTTGAGCCAAACAATGTTTATTTCAAAGCATCTTCATAAACATGCAGGCATGGGTAGCATCAAAAGATGAAATTACATAGACTTACGCGAATCGGAACAACGCGTGCCCCACACTTAGCCCACACCCAAACAGTGTTTGTCACTCTCGACGGAAGTGAACCTCCACCATCCAGCACCCCGCAGCCTCGTGAAGCTGTGCCGCTGCCTACATATGTTTGATAACAAGCAGTAAAAATTTAAAGTGCATACTCGTCAATCGTGCTCCTAACTCATCCCCCGTGCAATCGCGCAGTCTTAGTTCACACTGGCTCCTCCGTGTCCTGTTGCTGGAGCGCCTCGGCCACTGCTATGGCCCTGCTGATGAGACACTGCTCCGGCGCCGTCTCACTCCAGCAGTTGATGATGGCGTCCAGATCGGTCTGCGGACACGCTTCCAGGATGTCCAGGAGGGCGTCGCTGTCACCCAGCTCGGAGATGGCCGTCTCCAGCTGGGCGCGATCCACAGTGTCACCGTCGGCCAGCGAGACGTTCCTCATGGCACAGCCGGTGACGTCCACGGCGGCAGCCAGCAGCTCGGAGCAGTTGAGCGCGCCCCGCCGCCACCAGCCGCCGGGCAGCGAGCCGCCGGGCTCCTCGAGCAGACAGCGGCGCCGGCTGCTCCACGGCAGCAGGTTGGCGAGCGAGCACCTCCGTCTGCGCAGCAGGCCACTTCTGGCGCGCCGGCACAGCGCGGCGTCCTCATCTTGGAGCGCGCAGTCGAGCTTGAGTCTCCCTTTGATGCAGGCCAGGAGGAACACGGGCTGCTGCTCGGCGGTCAGTTCCTCGGGCAGGGCGCCCAGACACGCGCTGGAGCTGGTTTGCCAAAGACTGATCAAATCAGTATCACTTGTGAGGCCCTCAATGGCCGCGTCTAGAGATTCTTGGCTGTTTTCAATGGTTAGGCTGCAAAGCAAAACGGGATGAATAATGTTATCGATAATATGTTTATCCGCCTATCAGCCTAATGTGTTACCTCGCAACAACAGTCAACAGCATTTACTAAGCACGACTGTTTCCGCCTCCGCAGAGGAGATAACACCGTGCACCACGTCAGCCATGAATATGTCTGCATTTTGCAACACCTTCTATCGATACCCGATCATGCTTATTCGTCACAAAGGTTTTGAAAAAGGAAAAAGAAACGACAAACGTAAATGAGTCGTTGGGATGCATAACGAAACTTACTTGTTAGCCACACATCCATACAGAGCTGCCTTCCACGCCAGCCATGAGTCGCGGCCGCGCTGGCCACCCCTTAGGGAATCACGGCACTGGCGCACAATGGCACAGACGGCCTCCACCGTCGCCCCGTCGTCATCAGGCGCGCACGTGCGGGGCACCAGGAACCGACTAAAGCGGCCACCGCCTCGACTGCCACCGCGAGCTGAGGAGGACACAGAAACATGAGCGGGGACTCACTAATGAGGCGCGTGAGATTCACTTATTCATATTGATCGGGCCTTCTCATAAAATGGCACGTTACTACTGCTCTTTATGTATATTTTTCTTTATACAAAATGCGCAATCAAAATATTTTTTCCCGTGCCGTGCATTACAATCATCAGTTTACTCGAGGTTCGAGCCTACGACATAGCAGCTGTGATAAAATCAAATCACTTAGGACAGAATCTACAACTGTTTCAATGAAGAGAGGGAAGCGGAAAGATTATCTTTAACTACATATTTAACCAATAATTTCCCTAACTTTTTACATATACCTACTTGGCTTCGCGTAAAAATTATCAGATAGCGACGAAGCATTTACAGCCCTCGAGTTGCTCAATTTTACACCTACCCTAAAAAAGTAATAGTCCTGAATTAAACGACCTTTGACCTGTGACCTCCCCCTTGAGACAATACCAGGCCAAAATGGCAATTCAACGCTGTTTGTGCCATGGTTTATGGTGGCTTTCAAGGTCACGTGAGGGTCAGATCAAGGTCATTGCCCTTTGGAGACCTAGCTAGGTTGACCATTCAATTTTACTTACTTTAAAGGAAGTTTTTTAACTGATTTCTAACAAAGCACTCACTTACGCATTTCGAAACCAGTTTGTGAGCGCATGGGGCACATGTTGCGAAGCTTTCATTGGCGGTGAAAACCTTTCAAGAATTCTCAACCTGACGCCTGATAGTTGACCCGACCTAACCCGACGTATGTATGCCAAATGGACAAAGGCATCCTTATCGAGCAACATAAATGCTAAATTTAGAATCGTACCCCAAAATACGCTAGAAAGAGCTAGCGTATTTTGAAGTTCTAGTAGGACCTGATACCCCAACCCTGTGTTCATTGACCGCTTGGAAAGTCAACCAATGACCCGGGATATCACACTTGGGTATAGAATTAGCTTCCTCTTGTCGCGAGGACTTCACTCTTGATTTTCCGTGAAGCTTAAGCTCGAGCAGGGACCGATCACCGAACGATTGGAGGTCTTAACAACCCCCTCCCCCCTCCCCCCGTCATACACTGCGGCTGTGAAAACGTGCCAATACGGGCGACGCGATGGTTGAAATTAGGCATAGCCAAAACCTGAATCTATGAACTGCCCAATATGGCACGCAAAGGTACTCGCCATGAGTCCAGCCCAGCAGCAGAGCCGCCACCAGGAGCCGCCCGACGAGGCCGCTGTGCAGTGTCGCCATGCCGCCGTGACGTTCTCTGACTGCCTGGAGAGGAGTGCCGAGCTGTGCTGCGTGTGAGGGCCGCGCTCCGCTGCAACTGTGCGCTGCCGCAGCCGCTGGGTGTGCGGCAGACTCACACAGGCCTCCGCAGCCCGGGACCAACGGGCGCGGCTCGGCAGCTAGCCATTGTGCTACATGAAACGGGCATTTTTGTGCTGCTATTGCAGATGCTTATGTAATTGGTCAGCGCCGTCGAAAAAAAAAACGGAAGCTCCCAGGTGGAAAGATTCGTCACCATATCGCTGCATTTTTCAATGGCCGTGTCTAGGTGTTTAATCTATGTACGAAGCGGGACTGCTGGATTTAAAAGCCCTGCTGAGGGTAGGGGATGTTTGAATATAGTGACGTAAGTGACGTTTGAAAGAGCGTTAAAATTCATGAAGGAATTGCTTCAGTCATTCTAGGTCACGTAGCTCCAGTCTCTAGGAATATAAGGACATCGATGATCGAGCCAACTTTTACGCACTCCTGTGCTGTCGAAAGATGCAGAATGGCCACTAATTGCACTGCACTGAAAACAATTGAACCCGAGGCCGGCAAGTAAACATGTGCCCATCTGCCACTACCATTTTTAACACTCGCCGGACCTATTGGTTTTCTACATACTTACCCCTCGGCCGGCGCGGCCGAGGGGAGGCGGGTACGAACCCCCCCCCCTCGCCGTTTCGCCCCTGGTAGAGCTAGCGGGTCGCGGAAAAAACGAGCGTGTGCGCCGTTACGAGACGCAAAGATTGATACCCGATTTTTAGGTCCTAGGTCAGCCGGTGTCCTCTGAGGCCAGGTCAAGTACGCCAAGGTACGGCTCCGTTTTTGGTGAGTAACTTCGCAAAAAACGGCCGCAGAGCCGCGATTTTGGCAGCATCTTGTTTGCCTCGCTCAGGCGCGTCGAATGATATAGTTTTTGTTTGGGTGAGGTCAACTTAGGGTGTTGACCACGGGTCACCGTCAGGTCAGCGCCCCCAGGTCACGAAATTGGTCGAAAGAGGTTATGTTGCCATATCATTTGACTCCGCAGGTCTTCCTGAGTCAATTGATGGCTTCCCCGACTCGGCAGCTCAATTTGATTGGGAGTTATTATTGACAAAAAATAATATGACCCTAATGACGTCATAAATGACGTCACGCAAGGTCAACATTGCGAAAGTGACGTATCGAGCTTTGCAAGGAGTGCATGAAATCACGATTCTGTGTGCCAGAATAGCAGTTTTCATTTTTCTCCATTGACTTACAATGGTAAGGTTACGAAATTGATCTGACCTCATATGAACTTTAGGAAAAATCTGAGATATACAAGTTGTGAGACCTCTTACGGATACTAGGTCCTTTTGTCCCTGAGGTCATATAAGGTCATGAAAGGTCCCCAGCAGTTTTTTGACAACAACAATAACATCTAGCATGTCTTAACCCGCGCCCGGCTGGGGGTCCTGGATTTCCACGCCCTGCTGGGGGGGGGGGGGGGGTGTTTGAACACCCCCCCTTGTAACTCGGCTCCTGGGCCACGTAGCGATACGCGGAAGGCGGCGTTCGAAAGAGCAGCAAAAATAATGACGAAATCACTTCGGTCAATTTTTTGGTCAGGTCAAAGGTCAGGTCACCAGAGGTCATTGAAGGCAAAATTTCGCCGATTTCCAGGTCGAATGTCGAAAATTTCCAAGAAGCCAACGCATAACTCGAGAACCAATAGAGCTACAGCGCCGCGGAAAAGCGCATTCGATAGCCCTATTAAAGCCCTTTCTGAGTAATTCTCTCAGATTTGACCTAACGTCAACGGTTTTGCCTGCAGGGGGCAAAAACTGCAAAAATAGCCGATTTTTTTCGGAAACAGTTTTTCTGCAATAACTTTTGATCCAAGCCTTGAACGAGCTTACTTTTACCGGCATTGTGTTCCTCTCGTCAAGACGCATCGAATGAACTATAAGTTGACCTTGAAAGGTCAACTTGAAAATTTGACCTCAGGTCAAGGTCATGACCTGACCGGAAAGGGTCATGTTGCATATCAGTCGATCCGTATCATCGAACTGAACACATCTAAGGCGTTTTCATCGCTCTAGCATGCCTCTATCAAAAGTTATTTGCGAAAAACTGTTAGATACCATTCGTGACCTAAGATGACCTCAGGGCATAAACAAGGGTCACGGACACCATTTTCATGTTCAGTGTGTCTAAACCACTTGTAATTCGGTGTTTGGGAGTGTTTATAATGTCTTTTGTCCAAAAGAGGCGCATTTCAATTTTCTCCCATTGACTTATAATGGGGAGGTCGCAAAGTTGACCTGACCTTAGGTCATCGATATCAAAATTCTGAGATATACATTTTGTACATGCTATTGCTCTTAGCAATCGCTGAAAGTTTCAAAGCGATCGGTCACTCGGTGTAGCTATGACAGACATTGAAACTTTTTATGAGGTGAGGTCACTTCAAGTGACCTGGTGACCTGACCTTGAATGACCTTGGTCTAAAATTTTCACAACATGTGTAGAATTGATGTATGATAAGGTGTACCAAAAACGGCGGCGCTCCGCGCCGCCGTTTTTGAGATATTCGCGAAAAACCACAAGGGGGGTGTTCAAACACCCCCCCAGCAGGGCGCGGGTTAACCCGCACCCCACTGGGGTCTGCGTATAACGCGCCCTACTGGGGGAGGGCTATTCATTGCCCCCCTCCTAACTTCGAAACTACTGGGCCGATCGTCAAAATTCAAACGGCTTGTGATAGCCCCGTAAAAACTGTTCCTTGAAACTTAATTTTATTGACCTCAAGGTCACCGATGACGTCACAGGTCAAGTCAAAATAAAAATTATGGATGTTTGGCTTGTTCACATTTTGGGCTCTAGCCGCCGTCTTAACCCTATTCCTGGCCTTAAGGCCCCCTTCAGGTTTTTTTTGTGCGATTGCCAAACGCCGCAAGACTGAAAGCTCATACTCTGTGACTTTTTCTAAACATTCATTGCGCACATTTTGACAAAAAAAAAGTTGCCGGGTCAGGTCAGGTCAGGTCACCAGAGGCGGTTTAGTGACCCCACCTCAGAAAAGTTTGCAATCACGCCAGAGCTAGAGTTTTTGACCGATCAATTTCTTCTCTTCAGGTTTTAGTTAGGGTACCAGTATGTGCAATTTGTATATCTCAGAATTTTCATATCTGTGACCTGAGGTCAGGCCAGACTCGTGACCTTTACATTGCAAGCCTATGGGAAAATAGGTATTGAAACGCCTCCTGCTTCGTGTAAAACTGTAAACGAGTCAAAACCACCCAATTCTTTCAGTATTATGAAAGATTATCTCATCGGTGATGATCCTGGTGCCGCTAATTGACAGGGGCACCGGCAAAGGTCATCTGAGGTCATGTGACGTCATAAATCGTTTTTCTGTCAATAAATCACGACATGATGGAAAGAGTTGTAAGTGGTACCAAACTGCTCGCCTGGTCAAGGCGCGTCGTTTGGTATGCAGCATGACCATACCTTACAACCTCATTGATAATGAAATGACCTTGACCTCAGGTCAAATTTCAAGTTGACCTGTGAAGGTCATCACATACTTATTTCGCATTGCCTCGGCGAGAGTAACAAAAAATGTATTGGTTTTATGTCTCTATGTTTTTTAGTTTAAAAGTTATATAGGTAACTAATTCCAAAACATTTTATCGTTGATGACCTCTGGTGACCTCAATATTGACCTGACCTGAAAATGTTTTATATAAAAGTTGTAGATCTTTAAACGACCTATCAAATGCCGTTTGCCGTTTGTCGCTGCAATGTGTAGTTTTTGAGATCTGAAGGGGGCCGAATCGCCCCCCCCCCCCGCCAGTTTCTTGTCCCGGTGGAGCCCGCCAGGAATAGGGTTAAAAGTCAGATCAAGCTCAGTTTTGGGTTTCACACTCGTAAGCAGATGCTTTAGATACCCTGAGGGTACCAAACTTGTACTTTAATTTTTAGATCAAGGTCAGGTCATCACAGGTCACGGAAATCTGATATCATACGTCGGTCACGTGACACATGTTGTATGGTCCATTTAGGTATAGACCATAGATTTCGAATTCAATGTCGTTTATGTCATTCGAAGTCATTTTGAGTTGAATTTAGCTTAGATCAGGCTACTTTCAGGTCAAAAAGGTCACATTTTGAGGTTGAATATTGGAACAAAAAAGTGTCTATTGGATGCGGTTTGAGCTCAGTAACACGATGTTGCCATTTATTTTGGTGCAAGATGTCAAATACGTACTGAAAAATTGATTTGAAAAATTTATATTTGTGAAATATTGGCTATAATGCGTATAACTTGGCCATTTTTGAAGATAACTGACTAAGTCATAGCGTGTGTTCTATCACATATATTCCGGTTTTATCAAAAAGTCAAAAACGTTTTGAAAAAGGAAAAAATATAAATTTTGAATTTTAATATAAATAATTTTCGAAATTTTCAATATTTTGACAATTTGAGATAGCAGTTTGATAGCGCAATGTATTTTGAGCCCTCCCATGCAAAGAAATTGGATCTAGCCAGGCCCATGTCACTCCACTTTTGATGACATCATATGGGGGCCTCAGGACAATAACCCGGCCGGGCCCGGGGGGTAATCCCAACCACCGCAGCCCGGGGGGGGGCGTTTTTCGCCCCCCCCCCCCCTGTCTAACTCCGTAAATAAGGGAGCTACGGAAACAAAAGCGATACCAAACGAAAGCTCCTTACGAGACGATTCTAAAACACCTAAAATTTTTGACCTCAGGTCAATTTCCAAGGTCAGAGGTCAAGGTCAAAGGCAAAAACCGGCACATATGTAGTGATCTCAAAGTAAGCCTTCTAGAGGACGGCAGGCTGCATCAAACCGGCAAAATTGGGTGTCAAACGAAAGAAGAGAATCTGAGGATTCCGAAACTGTGATCAAAATCAAAGGTCAAGGTCAAGGTCACGCTCAAAATTGACCTCAAACTTGGCACTTTTTCGCACATCTTGCGTGCTAACTTCCAAGATGTTTTGAAATGTTTTGAGGCTTATCAGTTCCCTATTTGTGGTTCATCTTACGAT